GCTGGCTGCCCCCATCCCCGCGTGTCACAAGGACGCACTTGCACGCAGCCAAAAGGCAACAAAGAGGTAAAGAAAAGGAGGAGGAAACCAAACCTCACAGAGGCAAAAGAAAGAGAAAGGGATCCAGTCAAAGATCAGAGAAAGGAAGAAAGCAAATGACACATCCCACAGATAAACCAATTGCCACTGTCACTACAAAGTTCAACATATTGTTTTTCTTATGTTCTTTTTTTTTTTTTTTTTCCTTCAGCAATTTGTTCTTTTTTGTTTTTTTTTTCAACTTTTTTTTCCCCTTCTTTCTTCAACTCCGTACCTGTTGGTATATATATGTGTTTGACGATATGTAAGTCCAGATCGTAGTAGGGGCTGGATGCTAGGCCTCGGGAGGTGCCTGTCGTTGTACTGGACCAGCGGAGAGATCAGATGGACAGTCTTCTCCAGAGGGGATCATTCACGAACTCTTTTTTTGTCATCTTAATCTCCATCATGTATGTACCCTTTGTGTTTTTTTTCCCCTCGTTGTGCGTCAATTCCGCACCCAACCAATGCACTCCACTCTCAGTCGAACCTTCTTCGACTCATAAAGATGGTGAATGGATTGTTGACTAAATTCGGTGAACCGATCGATTAAAAAAACTCGCTCAACAACGAGCGGTCATCGGTTTCACATCTGAATGATTGTTATCAAGTCACGATGTTCGTCTAATCCTCTCCCTCGAGCCTTCTTGGACTCTTAAAGACGGTGAATGGATTTTATTACGTAAATCTGTGAATGGGCCAACTGTAGTAGATAGTTTTTTGTTGCTGCAGCCGTGCTGGGGGGGTTTGATCGATCCACCGCCAGACGGAATAGAACCGGTGACCTGGGCCATAACATTTTTGTTGCTGCAGCTGTGCTGGGGGGGGTGATCGATCCACCGCCAGACGGAATAGAACCGGTGACCTGGGCCATAACAGTCGGATGCCTTTAGCACTGCAACCGTGACCCGTTGTTGTTGAAAGCGGAAGCCATATCTGTCGTGACATTCAGCCAGCCCACCCCAGCTCGGTTGCAGCAAGGTCTTACTCATCATCTCTCCAATATCCGTGAGATCCTCCGCAGGCAGCAGCATCCACGCAGAGACCATCATCTCCTGGCTGGTCACTAGGCTGTTGCACTGTATTTAGTAGGTACAACTCTACAGACTCTAGTTCAAAAAATCCACTGGAAGCAGATGAGTGAGATACTAGAATATTCTGAATTACCTACCTTCTTCCCCGGACGTCAACGTACGGTCACTAAAGCTGTATCTAGACTTCTTCCCCCGAATACAACGTACGGTCACTAAAGCTGTTATGGAGACTTCTTCCCCCGAATACAACGTACGGTCATCGCTATAGCTGTATGTACGCTTCTTCCCCCGAATACAGCGTACGGTTACTATAGCTGTATGTAGACTTCCTTCCCCCGAATACAACGTACGGTCAGTAAAGCTGTTTGTAGACTTCTTCCCCCGAATACAACGTGCGGTCAGTAAAGCTGCATTTTGACTGAAAGATAACGCCAAATGGAGCTACAATGACCGTACGTTGTATTCGGGGGAGTTGGTTTTCCGCTACCGTTTCTGTTAAAACGACGTCTATTGTTTGGAACAGAGTTTTTTTTATTAAATGTGATAAAAAATATTAAAAATGGGATGACGTGTGTAGCATGTTGACGGATTTTTATTAAATTACTTCCGTACTCACAACGGCCATCATCGAGTATTATGTAATTTAATGAATCCATTGACGACGGCCATCATCGAGTATTAATTTAATGAATCCATCCACGACGGCCATCATCGAGTATTACAGTAATTACTAATTTACTAATTTAATGAATCCATCGACGATGGCCATCATCGAGTATTTAATTTAATGAATTCATCGACATGCTACACCTGTCATCAGATGTTTATCACATTTTTCATCACGAAACTTTGCTCCAGACAATAGACATCGTTTTGACAATATTCTTCCTTCCCTCTTTCTCTCTTTTTTTTTTTCTCTCTCTCTCACTGCATGTCTCCTCTCTGCAACAATGTCCACAGAGTGATCTGCGACAATGTCCAGAGAGAGAGAGAGGGGAGTTTCTTTCTCGCCTTCGCTCTTAAGAGTTGGAACTCGAAGTGCCGAGGGAGAGTCAGTTTTGCCAGCTGGCCATTTTAATAGCACACGGAGATATCAAATGGAACCTTCAAAAAAGAAACAAAAGATTTGAACCCTGGCATCAAGATTTTTTATTTGTTATTAGTAGTATTTTTTTAAATTTTAAACTACGCTACAGTCTTCTCTCGAATTCTTTTTTGCCTTTGACTAACTACCTACCACTATTCCTAAGGGTATATAGAGGCGACCCCGGCATGCATAGCTACCTCACAGTGAAGGGATTGCATGTTGCCCCCAGCCCCAACAGCAGTAGTCAGAGATGGCATCAAGAAAAGTTTGGCTCGTTGACAAGATAAAAGAAAAACGAGAAAAGGAAAAAGAGAGATTCAACCCCTTGCATATCAAAGA